ATAACATGGATGAAACTGGAGGACATTATGCTGAGTGAAATAAGTCAATCACAAAAGGACAAATATTGTATGAGACCTCTACTGTAAAAACTCGTAAAAGTTTGCACACAAAAAGAAACAGTTGGTTACAAGGGATGGGAGGGGTAGGGGGTGAACTAAATAGACAACAAATAAGTGGTAACTTTGGTGGAGGGTAAGACAGTACACAATACTGGGGAAGCCAGCACAACTTGTACAAGCAAAGTTCACGGAAGCTCCATAGACACTTCCAAACTCCCTGAAGGAATGAATTGCTGGGCAGAGGGCTGTGGGGACTATGGTCTCAGGGAACATCTAGCTCAACTGGCATAACACAGTTTATAAAGACAATGTTCTACACTCTACCTTGGTGAGTAGCATCTGGGGTCTTAAAAGCCTATGAGCAGCCATCTAAGATACTCCACTGATCTCAACCCTTTGGGAGCAAAGGAGAATGAAGAGAAGAAGACACAAGGAAAAGATCAGTCCAAAGGACTAATGGACAACAGCTACTACGGCCTCCACCAGACTGAGTCTAGTATAGCTAGATGGTGCCCAGCTACCACCACTGACTGCTCTGACTGGGATCGCAATAGAGGGTCCTGGACAAAGATGGAAAAGGATGTAGGACAAAATTCTAACTCACAAAAAAAAGACCAGATTTACTGGCCTGATAAACTGGAAAAACCCCGAGAGTATGGCCCCCGGACACCCTTTTAGCTCAGTAGTGAAGTCACTCTTGAAGTTCACCGTTCAGCAGGGGATTGGACAGCCTCGTAAAACAAAATCGGACTAATGAGGCACAGCAGTCCAGGGACAAGGACTAGAAGGCAGCAGGGGACAGGAAAGCTGGTGATAGGGAATCCAAGGTTGAAAAGGGACAGTGCTGACATGTCGTGTGGTTGTCAACCATTGTCATAGGACAATATGTGTACTAACTGTTTAATGAGAAACTATTTGTTCTGCAAACCTTCATCTAAGGGAAAAAAAAAAAAAAAAAAGAATTATCTATGTGAGATCAAATTGACAACAGCAACTCAAAAGGTTTGATAGGAAGCCTAGGCAGCAGTGTGTTGAAGATAATGCTGATGGAATAATTTGGAAAAGGACAGTGAGAATAGCAGCACAAATGGAAGAATGTAATCGATGTCACTGAATTGTACAAGTAGAAACTTTTGAAATGGTGTAACTTTGCCTATGTATATTTTCACCAAAAAAAAGGCCCCCAAGGCTGAGAAGGGAGAGTGTTGACATGTAGTGGGGTTGTTAACCAATGTCATAAAACAATATGTGTACGACTGTTTAATAAGAAACTATTTGGTCTGTAAACCTTCATCTATCTCAAGTACAATTAAAAAAAAAAAAGTTAGAAAACCTGCTGGCCTAATTCCCTTGGCCTTTCTCTCCTTTAGCCTTGCTATTCTTCCTCTAGAACTTCAAACACCACTGTCTTATTGGAGGCAAATGGATCTCAGTCCCTCCTCGTGTTCCTCCCAGGGGGCTGAGCCCCAGCGAGCATGCTCTCCCTCCACCCTCCCGCCTGGACTGGAAACATCTCCCTTCACAGACAGGCTGTGCTGAGACGCTCAGTCATCTGACCCCCTCAACATCTGGAGGGCTAAGTAGTGTGTTTATTGTTATTTTCTGTCTAAAAGTAAAAAGATGAGGCCTGGAGATTCCAAATGCTACGTCCAAGGTCACCTTGAACTTTAGAAGTAGAATGGCTAGAACTCAGGTTTCCTGAAAGAGGAAGTGGGGTGTAATGGAGACTCCAATTCAAATCTTGGTGCCACCAAGCTGTGTGACCTGGTGCAGATTCTTCAACCTCCCTGAGTCGGTTCCTCATCTGTAACATGGGGTGATTCCTCCGTCATAGGGTTATTCAGGCATTACTCTAGATCTGGCACTCTGTTCCTTTCATGTTTTAACTTCTATTGGCAACTTCTTTGCAATAGGTTCACCATAATTATAATAATGACATAAACTTTTTATTTTAGTTGATAAATATAGCAAGAACATGGTATATTTAATTGCTTAGAATCAATATCATCACTAACACAGTCCTTTTAGTCCTTTGTTAAGACGTCGATAAAACCAACCAAAACACATTTCTTACTAACGTTCAAAATCTTTCTCCATTTGCCTTTACTTGACATACTGTCATAACGGGATCAAATACTCTGCGACATGGCTTTGATGATTAGAGAGCATAATATATATAATCACTCCACTATTTCTACACTGCTTAGAAGATCAGAAAATAAGAATTTGTTAGGACAAAAAGCTTTCGTTTCAACGTAAGTGTCTACCCCAGTTTAAATAAAATAAAAACATTGCTGAAATAATCATGCATGCATAAGAAAGAAAATCAATGCGTGTAAATTGCGTTATAAACTGAGGTTAACAGAAAGATGAAACCCTAAAGAAAAATTCTATTTAAAATATATTGTGAAAATACTTTTTAAAGGCAAGCAGCAAGCGCTCTAAATGTTTCTTTGGCAAAGATTTCATGTCAAAACAAACAGACATAAATATCTAAAGACTCCTAGTCTTCAGTTTTAAACAGTCATTTGCAACACAGTAGAGCTGGGCACCAAAGAAACCTTAAAGATGGTGTAGTTCAAAGAGTGCATTTTACAGAAAAGCAAACCAGATCCTGAGAGGCTGGGTGACCGCCTAGGTTGAAGACAACCAGGACGAGAGGATCCCAGGTTCCTAACCCTCCAGGACTCTTTCCATGACACCGAACTACCTTTCGTGTTTCTGTTCATCTGTGTTTTGAAAGAACCTGTGTTCTCTCGCTAACTGCAGTGGTACGGCCATCTGAAGCCTACCTCTTCCTGGGACTGGTTAAATTGCTCCATCAGTTGGGTTTGGGCCAGCAATACTCTCTCCAGTTCATCTGACTTCTGCTTCACTCCCTTCCTCAGGTCCTCTGACATGGAATCATTACTGTCAATTTCCTTCTTCAAGCGAGATTCAAATTCTGCAACCAAACTTCTCAGATTTTCAATTTCTTTTTCCTTGGACTCAGATTCTTGAGTGTATCTCACCTGGGATTCGCAGAGTTTTTCTTGTAGAGTAACTACTTCCAGCCTTAGATCTCTAGTTGCGCCTTCGATTAGGTCAGATATCTGTAAGATAAATCTTGTGTGAGTTTGCAGGCTATGGTAACCAGGGAACCACACAGTTTTTATGGCTCTGAAAAAGTTTAATCTAAATAATCAGTGATCAGATGAAACTGAATTCTATGATTTATGTGGCCTTTAAGATTTTATTTTGAAAGTTAAGAATAAAACTTATTTTTACCACCTAAAAGATTTTTAAGTTTACCGCTTGTAACAGCACTGCCTAATAGAAATTTCTATGATGATAGAAATGTTCCGTGCTGTCCAGTATGGTAAGCACTGCGAGGCATTGGTGGTTCAGTGGTGGGATTCTCGCCTTCCATGTGGGAGATCCAAGTTCAATTCCCAGCCCCTCATGCACAGTCACCACTCACCTGTCAGTGAAGGCTTATGCGTTGCTAAGATGCTGAACAGGTTTCAGCAGAGCTTCCAGACCAAGACAGACTAGGAAAAAAGGCCTGGCAATCTACTTCCAAAACTCAACCATTGAAAAATCCGTGGATCACAACAGTCCTTCACAATGGTCTGATCTGCAACCGATCGTGGGGGTGGTGCAGGACCTGGCAGCATTTCGTTTATTTGTGCAAGAGGCTGTCATGAGCCAGGGGCTGACCCCACAGCGGCTTACGGTAACAAGCCACAGGTGACATTGACAGCGGTTTGCTGGTAAATGTTAACAGCTGGCTCTCAAAACACAAAAAAGGCTGAGTTGGTAGCATTTGCTACAAATACTCTCACCATGGCCAATTCCAAGCTACCCACGTGACATTACTGTTCGCAGAGCTGAGGAGAGACATACAGGATTGGCTCCCACAAGACACTACTGGCTACTGAGCACCTGGAGGATAGTTCCTGCAGCCGAGGAGCTGGACTGTCTATGCCATTTAATTCAGTTCATTTAAATAGCCACATATGATTAGTGGCTACAGTACTGGACAGTGCAGTTCTAGAGAACACCAGAGTGCTTTGAAAATACACTGCTTTTTACGGTGGTACCTCTGGAAAAGGGATGTGAGAATAACTTAGAGAAACTTTTTCTCACAATCATGAAACTCTTTAGACGGGAAAAGACCACTTATTTTCTTTCTCCTTAAAAAAACAGAACAAAGAGCAGAAAGCAAACCAGGAAGAGCTGCTTCTGATGAAACAGCCTTATTTTTTATGCTACAGATATTGTCATATTATAAATATTAACACAAGCAACTAGCCCACGAAGAATCTGGAAAACATTCACAGACCAAAGTTCCAAGGACTTTTGGGACCTAATACTTTAAAAGAACTGTGTACTCAAAATTTGTTTCAAATGTTAAATTTACATAAAGAATAACTTTCAAGAGAACTCTATTCACCACAATCAGTCACTTTATAAATTCACATTCCGTTGTTTTCAGCTAGCCCAGGAAGGACGCTGGTCGCCATCAGGCCTGAACGGTGACTTCCACCATCCAGAGGACACTGGACCGTGAAGCAGAGCAGGCTGTCCTCGGGATAGGAGGCTCACATAGCCACAGAGGTGTTGGCTTTTTCAAAAGGGAATCGACATTTAAAAACCAGAGATTTCACTTGCAAAGTATGGACTTCTGACTCTCTTAGAAACTGTAACATGTGGCAAGTTGGGCCTGCCTTTTAGTACCTCGACAGTGAGCTGACACTGGGTCACGACTGCCTCCTTAGCCGAGGCCAGTCCTCCCCAGTGAGCCTCCCCTCAACTCACGTGTAGTTTGCCTGGAACCCCTGCCCCCTAATTTGTTAGCGTTACCTCCTGATTTACGGTGTGAAAAATCCTCTCCATTGACAAGGACTTTTTTTTTAAATTGTACTTTAGATACAGGTTTACAGAACAAATTAGTTTCTCATTAAACAATTAGTACACATATTGTTTTGTGACATTGGTTGCCAACCCTACGACATGTCAACGCTCTCCCTTCTCCACCTTGAGTTCTTCTTTACCAGCTTTCCTCTCCCCTCCTGCCTTCTTGTCCTTGTCCCTGGGCTGGTGTGCCCCATTAGTCTCGTTTTGTTTTATGGGCCTGTCTAATCTTCAGCTGAAGGGTGAACCTTGGGAGTGACTTCATTACTGAGCTAAAAGGGTGTCCGGGGGCCATACTCTTGGAGTTCTCTAGTCTCTGTCAGGCCAGTAAGTCTGGTCTTTTTTTGTGAGTTAGAATTTTGTTCTACATTTTTCTGCAGCTCTGTCCGGGACCCTCTATTGTGAGCCCTGTCAGAGCAGTCAGTGGTGGTAGCCAAGCACCATCTAGTTGTGCTGGACTCAGTCTGGTGGAGGCCTTGGTAGCTGTGGTCCATTAGTCCTTTGGACTAATCTTTCCCTTGTATCCTGTTCTCTTCATTCTCCTTTGCTC